TTCGTAAGTCGAGACCCCACTGTATACATTGTGGTCATACTGATATGTTCTACTTGTGCTGTTTCTTTTTGCATTACAGCAGAGACTTTACAGAGAAAAGGAAAGTGCTACCAACTGTACTGTGGAAATGTGCATACATGGTGGACATGCAACCTAGAGGTATTAGAAATGGATGTTCACCAGTAATATTAGTGCCTTCAGAGCATAAAGGAATACCATGCATTTAAAAAAAATAACTATGGTTTCAAGTCCTAGCTCTTCCAAGACCATTGATAATTTCTTCACTATGTAAAAACTGAATGGCTATTGTAGGCACAGTCATGTCAGTCAGGGCTACAAAAGGAAGTTGTTTTAATAGAAGCAGCCTTATTCTTGCCTCAAGTCAAAACACTGACTAGAAGCAGGGAATCAATGTCCTTTGTATCTATGTATGTGGGGAGAATCCAAAATATATAATGCTGGACCTTTTTTTACAGGCTTCTGTGAGGGTATGGGAGGTGAAGCAATCTCACAAGCATCTATAAAAGACCTTCCAGAAAAACTTCAGAGGGGTCTGGCAAGCACAACAGACACAGCAGGATATGCTGCAACTCTGGATGCTCAGCAAAACTGATATTTCAGATAAAGAATTTTAGTGCATTCAAATCGTTTTCTCTCTTTTTACTATTATTATTATTTTAAAGCTGTCCCACAGATAATAGGCAAATTCCTAAACACAGATTCTCCATCAATGTATGAATATTGTTATACTGAGTATCTAATTGCCCACACCTACAGCAGTCTTCAACTCTTAACATTCCTGGTGTTTAATATTCACAGCTATTTAGCTACACTGTTCTACCAGAGTGCACTGTGACAAAAAAAAAAGCAGATCGGTGTCTAATTACATCCACATTGATGCTCACAAATGATAATGCAATACATCCATTATCAAAATCACACATAAGCCTCTTTCTTCCCATTGTTTTTAGAGATACTCTTAAGTTTTCTACCAAAATGCTATCATGATGTGGGAGGATAGAGGAGGAGAAAAGCTTGGGAAAGAGTTGGGGGATGGGGGAGTAAGTTCCTGCTGGCTGGCTATGTAGGACGTTGACAAAAGGAGGTTCAAATGGCTCCCCCAGTTTTCTCTCAAAATATATCAGAGCAAGAGAGGTGGAGAAATAGAAGCAAATTGGCAGGAGTTTCCAGGTCTCAGGCACTCTCATATCTGACAAGTAGGATGGCTTTTTATAGTTTAAAAGAAAAACTCCTGGGGATGGGAGCCACACTGTACAATTCAAATGCTGTTAATCTTCCTCCCAAATCTGTTTGGTTAAGATCCAATTCTTTGGTGTTATGTGCAGCAAATATCATTTATCCAATTTTGCAAGTGGAATATGAAACTCTGGCAGCCCTTTTACACATGAGGGAAGTTGCAATTTATAGAAGAGCTAAAACAGCAGGCTTACCACCCACAGGATAGGTCATTTAAGAGGATGGGACAAAAGGAGTACCAAAAAAATAGGAATTAGGTGAGCAATTCCTGCTGTTATCAGAGAAGAATAGAATCTAACAAATAATCTACCCCATCCCAGTTTAACCATTATGAGATTCAATGTAAGACATAATCTTGGATGCCTTAATTTATGCAATAAGGATGCACAGTCTATGGCCAACTTTCAAAAACATCTCTGTCATCAGCAGAATCCCACCTTCTCAAATTGCTTGGCAGAGGCCCAACTGACTTATTGGGACTTTAAAGCAGCCAAGTTGGTGCTTTGTGACAGCAAAACAGGGATTCCCTACCAGCTTCCTAAAAGGCTAGTCTTCCTCCTTGTCCCAGTCACCTGAAATCAGCCATGATTGCTGCTACATTGAATATAATGCCTTGTAGAACAAGTATGGTTCCAAGACTTTTAAAAATTTCCTTTCATATGAGAACGAAGTCCTGGAAGATACCGTATTTTTCGCTCCATAAGACACACCTTTCCATAAGACGCACCAAATTTTTAGGAGAAGAAAACAGGAAAAAAATTATCTGCTGTCTTCTCCTAAAACTTGGTGAGCCTTATGGAGAGGTCCATCTTATGGAACACACCCTAGGGTCCTAGGGTGTGTTCCAGGACCCTTTGGAGCCTCCCCCTTACCCCATCCCAGTTTAACCATTATGAGATTCAATGTAAGACATAATCTTGGATGCCTTAATTTATGCAATAAGGATGCACAGTCTATGGCCAACTTTCAAAAACATCTCTGTCATCAGCAGAATCCCACCTTCTCAAATTGCTTGGCAGAGGCCCAACTGACTTATTGGGACTTTAAAGCAGCCAAGTTGGTGCTTTGTGACAGCAAAACAGGGATTCCCTACCAGCTTCCTAAAAGGCTAGTCTTCCTCCTTGTCCCAGTCACCTGAAATCAGCCATGATTGCTGCTACATTGAATATAATGCCTTGTAGAACAAGTATGGTTCCAAGACTTTTAAAAATTTCCTTTCATATGAGAACGAAGTCCTGGAAGATAACTTCTATGGACATTTACATGCCATTAACTCACAGTTCACAGCATAAAGTAAGAACTACTGATGTCATACCACTACTGGTTTCTCTTCTCCTAGATAAAACAGCAGCATTACTGGATGGTACTCACTGAAAAGGTGCAACGGCTTCTGGAGGCAGTTCATAACTGGACATTTGTGTTGTCTTGTTGTAGAAAAATTTCCTGAAAGAATTTTTACTGAATGCCATTGTCCATGGATCTATTTAAAGAATGAGAAAAAATGAGAAACAGAAATGTTAAAATAAAACACAATTAAAAACAAAAAAACAAAATCAGAGACCAAACACACATATGCACATGCCTACATCCTCAGCGCTCTAAATCAAGGTCTCACATTCCATTTTTTTGTCCTTAGTATTTTCCTCAAATACCTTAGACATGCAAATGAAAGCCATTTCTGACACATCTTCCATGAAAGTTAACGTATGGAGTAGGTCCATAGAGAGAAAGTTTACAGGAACTATGTAGGGAAGTTGATACATTCCTGGTTGCTAGTCTTCCCTGCCAAATATACTGCTGTGCTTTCAGTTGTTACAGAATAAATACTACTGCACCAATGAGAAGCTTAATCAACAAGTGCCAAATACTATTAGCATTAAAGAAGTGGGAAGTATGAGTGGTAGTCACTCCCCTGCAACTGGAGCATTCCTGATTAGAGTATTGGGAACCCATGCAAAAATGGAAAATGTCCATGTTAACTGACACAAACTAAGTGACCAGCACTGCTCCATGTGTGGTATGGATAGTCTAGATCTTGTCCTTGGCCTATTGTAACAGATAATGACCCACCATTGACTGTCCGAACAATGTACAATCCTACAGGTACAAAGTGTCGGTCATCACGGCCAGTGTAGGACAGTCGTGGTATTCCACCTGAGCTCTTGATGATCTTCATCTCTAACCTGAAATCATGGCAAATGGGAGAAAAAGAATGTTCAAAGCACAACATACACAGAACGCAGTTCTCAGCACCTTAGACCTGGTGGGACAGTTTCCTTTCCCTGGAAGGACGGGATTTTTTTAAATTTTCTGGACTTCAAGTACCATAACTCTCCATTCTGGAAGTTACATCCACGTTACAGATACTGTACCTTACAAACACCTAAATGTGATGCACCTGGTAGAAAGGCCTACACTGGAATGTTGTGAGGCTGACCCAGGGCTAACTCTGCCCAAGCTTCCTATTCCTGCGCCACTGCTAGCTCGGAGCTTTCTTTCTGAGCAGGAAGCTTGTGTGGACGAAGGTCAAGCCCAGCCTCAAAATTCCAATTTAGGCCTCTCTCCCAGATGCATCACGGGCGGGTGTGGGGTGAGTGCGTGCATGTGGTTGCACATATGAGCACGCATGCACGTTCCTGTTCCTTTGGCCCTCAAAGATCTGAAAATATCCAGTATGGCCCTCATGATCAAAAGTTTTGAGACCCCTTCCTTAGAGGGATAATGTGAGGGTGATTAAAGTAAGAGGTGTGATGGAGTGGGTCCACAATTTGGGGCCAGCTTTTTGTGGCCAACTCCCTGCACCTTGAGGCCCTACCTGCAAGGTGAAGAGGACTCCTGTCTCTAGCTGAGTGCTCCACTTCTAATAGAGAACAAGTCTGGGATCATCCCTTTGTTTAGAACTCCAGGCACCCACAAAGTGCAAAGCCACGAGAAATTCTCTTCCGGTGGACAGAACCCATGGCTTGTTACACTTGCCAGGAGCTGGCTTGAGCGCTTTGCATGGAATACGTGGCACACAAAAGTGGGCACCCTAAGATGTAGATGTGAAGGGAGTTCAATTATAATTAAGAGCTACAGAAATGGTTCAGAGGAATTTTAATGCAGTGTAACAGACAGGAAAACTTTGTGGGAAGCTTTGCAAAGTGCTACAGGAAAGCAGCCAGAAAATTGTGCCAGCTGCCACCCACCACAGAGAGTGACCTGAAAAGGACATAAAAATTAGGGAGGAAAGTTTTTTTAAAAAAAGGTTAACCATTATAACTCAATCCATGGATCCCATTATGGAAATTGCACTGATCTTTAAAAACAGTCAACATTTCTCCCAGAAGGCAAGTACATAGAGTATGTGACTATGTTATAAATAAGGCGAGAGGATAGAATTCTGTAGGCCAGACAAAAATAGTGTTGGAGACTGTGGATTTGGCTATAGGAAGCCAAACAAATTTCCTTCCACTAGCGAATATCTGTATGCTCCTTTGCACAGGTTGGCAGTTCCTCTCAACTATACAGAATTTTACAGTAATCTCTAACACTGTGAAACTTTCCTCCACCTTTTCAGCCTTCAGGATAAATAGTGCAAAAGTATAATTCTTCTCAGGACTTACCTTAGAAAGATCTTCTTCATGTCCTCTAGCCTATATACTTCCTTCACTCTGTGGAGAAAATTTCTTGAGCTAATTAATATACTAGTCCAAACCTACAGCTGTAAAGTCATTTCTAGGATTCCAGAATGACAGGAAAATAACACTGTTTTGTGGAGCACTCTCACTAGGCCTGCCAAAAACAGGCCATCTAAATCTTGTCACTAAAGAAGGAAGTTTATAAAGACCAAAGAAGAAGAAGAAGCCAATGAGATGGGTATCACATTTTGTTTCCAAATGTCCTGATTTCTAAAATATATCATGACATTCTCAAGAACTGGAACTGAGACTCAATTCAATATTATAGTTTGGTAGCTCCAGTTGGCTGATCTGATGAACAGCTGAAGTTACATGGTGCCCTACCATAAACTGTATTTACATTAGTATCAGAAAAATTCGGAAACATCAAATAGATTAAATACAGGGGGTGGAAGGATTTTGTAAAAAGGGGTAGCAACCTTCTGTTTCTTGTATTAAAAAAGAAAAACTGAAAACTGAACAGACATTGCCTTCATGCACACAACATCCTTCCAAAGTGAGATGTAGTTTTGCAAAGATGCTGTTTGCTCTTCCTGGACAGAAATATAGAACCCCACAAGCAACATTTAGGCACCGATTTTGCTGTTCGTGAGCCAAAGCAGTCCATTTCAAATCTGGCAATTGCACACAGTGAATTGATCTGCAAAAAGCTTCTTCTGAAAAGCAACCCCCAACAGCTAGCTTTCTAATGTACAGATTAAAATATAACCACATCCTAGCTCTACCCACACACAGAGTATTTTTAATCACCACAATCCCAGAACCCATCAAGAATCGAAAGATTTCATTCACCTGATAGGGTTCATATCTGGCCGGCTAGGTTTAGAGACGGCTTTTACAAACTTCTCTGCTAGCTGAATTCTAGAACCAAAAAGAAAGATTTCTTGCTGTTAGGGGTCTTAAAAACAAGAATTACCATAGTAAGAACGGGCTCTCCGTACGTTTTGTGAGGGACTAATCCAGTAACAAGTGTAAGACTACTGAATTTAATCTTTCTGCCTAATTATCAAAATTCTGGGCCAAAAAAAGGTCAGGCTATTAGTACTTTCTCAGTAAAACAACCCCTTGTGTCCTGGTCTACATCGAAGTCTTAAGACTTGCTTCCTATGAAAGTCACATTCTTCATCACTGACCTGCCCTCCGTGACTAAGTGAAGACAAAGAAAATGTGTACTAAACACCACAGCTTTCCAGAAGTGCTGGACCACAACCTCACAGTGGCTGAAATACTGCTGTGCAGCAAATTGTCACTGGTTAAAGGCCTCCTATGGTGATTTTGGAGATGCATGTGACCTTATCGCATTGTGTATGGGTCACGTGCACCCCAAAATCCCCTTTACTAAGCAGTGCTTTACCACTGCTGCTAACATCATCCCCACTGTGCATGCAAACCTGAGCAGCAGGATTTCATTCTGTCAGATTCCACAGAGGAATATCTGAGTGCCTTCACAGGGCTCCTGTTTTTACAGATTCCCTATGAGAGACTTTGTGTTTTATACAAATCTGACAAGGATTTTAATTGTGCTCACAGAAGATTTTGTACTTTGTTTTATATTCACTCAATTCTTCCTTACTAGATAACTTTCAGAATTTTGATTTAAAAACATAAAAAGGAAACTTTTTTCTTTTTAAAAAGTAATCATGTAAATAAGAGCTCAAAAATGTAAAATTCATTTGAATACATAAAAGTAAATGAGTATATATTGCAAAATTCAGTCTTCTAATGCATAAACTTTCAAGTTCATATATGTAAAAAGCATTTTAATCTATAAAAAAGATTTACTAAAAGTATGATCTATTCAAATAGCATAGAACTTCAGTTTAGTAATTCAAAAGATACAATATTATTTTCTTAGTAAAAAGAATAAAATACATAAACTCTCATACAAGCCACTTAAAAATCTCTATTCCAATACATATTATTTGCAAAAATGAAGCTGAACATGGCAAGGCATAAGCTATCATAAATACGTCACATCACATTACTAATTCTCACCCACTCCAAGCAGAGATTTCCTCCCTGGTCTGTGAAAACAAGGTTCCTATCTTTTGAGATGTTCTATAAACATGCTAGGAATCTCTGTTTATATATTCCTTATGTTATGCATAGTCAAAACAATCTGTCATGGGACTCTAGCTTTCCTGTGGGCCTGGGATGGTCAACATACCCGAATCTCTATCCAAGTGATGTCCTGAACCAGGGATCTCCTAGGCCAAGCAGGTCATGTAGCATCCCCCTCCATTTGAGTACAACTGGCTAGATATGTATCATACTGACATTATATTTGGACAGTACAATACGGTACATTTTGAATACCAATCAAAAGCTTTTTACATTTTCCATGTTATAAAATGTTCACCATTAGAATTTCTTATTTTTCCTGCCATAAACTTTTATTAAAATCCATAATTGACAACCTTATGTTGAACAGTGCAGACACTGTTAGAAAGCAATCCTTTGCCTGCACTGTACTTACCGCTGATTAAAATGCTGCTCTCTGACATCAGTGCCATTGAGTACCAGGGCATCCAGGATGTGGATGGCATTAATTATGTTCACCATTTGAATTTCTTATTTTTCCTGCCATAAACTTTTATTAAAATCCATAATTGACAACCTTATGTTGAACAGTGCAGACACTGTTAGAAAGCAATCCTTTGCCTGCACTGTACTTACCGCTGATTAAAATGCTGCTCTCTGACATCAGTGCCATTGAGTACCAGGGCATCCAGGATGTGGATGGCATTAATTTTTCGCTGTGCTTTCCCCTGGAGAGTAGAGAAGAGGCACCTTACAAAGTATCCACATGCTTCTACAAAAACCTGCTTCCGATTTTATTGGTTGATTCAGAAAAGGAAACAGCACAATTGAACGTTCTTCTATCAAGTTTTTCCCATTCCTCTCTTCCCAAAACACACAACTATCTTTGAATGACTCAATGCATATGTGCGTTGACACCAGGGCTGGGTAATGTGTGGCCCTCCATATTCCCATTAACACTTCCTAACATAGCCAAGGCTAAGAGATTATGGGAGTTGAAGGGTCTCCACAAGTTCTGGATGACCACATGCTCCCCAGCTCTGACCTTTGCTCTCCTCTTTGCTTCTCAGGCATTTAAATAATTCCAAAACACTAGCTATGAAGCTATTATATTGTATCTTCATGGGAATCCAAATAAAGAGGGAAGCAAGATTATAGGACTTCCCCTCTTGAATCTTAAGGTGAAAAAGATGAACTGCTCAAGGTGAAAGGCAATCCCAGTATTACGCCGCCTTAGTTAAAAGTTTGGACGCTTCTTGATTAAATGAAATCTTCACAAAATAATTGTACCTATGGTTAGATCCCCCAGAGATTTTCATAACAGTGTGACAGTGGAGTCACTCATATAACCTGTGTTCTCAGCACAGATTAGACAAGAGACTTATTGCCTCAGAACATAGAAATTACTTTCTTTATTAACAATTACTGAAAGATTTGTCCTACAGTAATGTATCTCATTTCTTTGAAAATGGCATCTCTTATTAACAGCCACCTCTGTGTGCAGCAGTAACACATTCTGTGCACACTGCATGAAACACTACTGGTCTTGACTGTCCCAAATCTACTGCCAGTCAATCTCTGTATGCTCCTAGAGCTGGCTGTTTCAAAACTGTTATTTCTCTTTATACCATTACTTCAAAAATCCCTAACATGCCTTACTCTCTGCACCACCTGTTCCCTAAGCCTGGAACTATTAAACACAATACTTCCAAAAAGCTGAGAAAAAACATGTGCCTCCCCAAATGTTACTCCAACAAAAGCTATTTTTATGCCACTCTGGCTGAAATCCTCTTTACAGCATAAATCCAAGTGTAAGTATCCATCTGTTACTCCCTGGTAAAAAACCCAATGCTGCCATGATCCTCGAAGACACATACGCATGCACACTGAGAATCACAGCAGTGGCACTTTGTTTACCAGAGAGGAACAGAAAGAAAGTTACACTTGAATTTACACTATGAATAGGACTTCAATCATTGTTTTATTCTGCTCTTGGTTTTTTTTTTTTTTTACATGAATGTTTTATTAATTTGGAGCCTTTTTTACATTGTCCTTTGTTTTTATGAACTTTTTTGCAAATTACTTTGAATTTATTTCATCTGTAAAGCTGGATGAAGATATTTTAAAAAATATAAAATTTCAATACACTGATTTATTCAACTTAGAATTTAATGCATTTTAAGATGTTTTGTATTCCAAGTAACTGCAGTGTTATTTTATTTATTGTTTATATGCATGGCCCTTTTAACTTTTTTTATATTCGTTGCAAAAGAGCATTTTACTGGAAACATACCAGGATGATCACCTTCTATCTTCTATGAAACATTTAAAAATTGTTAGTATTATAAAACCAGCTTTCTTCTAGAAACTTGGAAGAACAATAAACATTGCTTTACTGGAATACATCTATGTCACAAAATAAGTCTGCTGGTTGAACATGGGAATGTGCATCTGGGGGGAAAACCTATCCTTTTCATCAGGCAAATTAATAAAAGACAAGACAATATAAATTGAAAGCAAACCTACTTGTGAGCTTAACTTCAGGTCAAAGGGCATGAAACACCACAAAAGGCTACTATCCTTTCTAAATGCTCTAGCTGGTCATATGTACTAAATGGTTGAAAGAAGAAATTTGCCTTTGAAAGAAAAAGAGCCTCTAACCTCTCCTTTCAATTCATGAACAATTTCTACAGAAAGAAGGGTGTCCCGCGGCAATTCTGTTTTCAAGTCCAGTTTGGTCCAGCGATCTGATGGCCGACCAGCCCAAGTGTATATCTGAGACTTCTGATTTAAAATAAAAGGAAGGCAAAATGATTAAGATCCAAAAATATACAGTATAGATGCCATTTGCTCTTGAATGCAGCTGATAATATTACAGCAGAGAGATACAGTAAGACAGATACTTCCAACAATTTGTATTTCACAGTGAAAGAAGTAAAATAGATTTCAGTAGCAGAGAAGCAAAAATGCAAAACACTGGTCACCTTGTCCACAAAAGAGAAAAGCATTATTAGAATAATCTGATAGGTCAGGTAGGTACATGTAGTAAGTCCAATTTATGAAGCAAGTTTTTTCTTGGGTGAGAGGTAGACTGGCAAAGGCATCCACTGAATAAAAATATTAGAGAGTATTTCAAAACAAAGCCTAAAGAGGTAAATGAATGTAATTCTAAATCAGGGGTCTCCAAACTACGGCCTGTGGGCCACATCCGCCCCGTGTTACTGTTCTGTCCGGCCTGTTGCCTTCAGCCCATTCATGCATGGGGCGGGCAGGCAGGTGTGAGCAGGTGTGTGTGCGTGTGTGTAGGGGGTGGCTGTGTGTGTGTGGGAGGTGGACAGGGAGTGTGTGCACATGTGCGGGCAGGCAGGCGGGTGTTTGTGCATATGTGCGGGTGGGCGGGCATGCATACACACCCACATGTTCCTTTGGCCCACAAAAATATCACAATTATGTGGCCCTCCATGTGAAAAGTTTGAAGACCCCTGTTCTAAATTAAGTACCACATTACTTAAAATGTTTTTCTGTTGAAACTCACTGATACATTTAGTTATCACCACTCACCCCTAATGATAGAAGGAACTTCTGCTCACTTCCTGATACCATACACCTATAATCCAACACTGGCCTGATCTTCTCCAAGGTTTTTGAAGTGAGAGGAGTTGGTTTGTAACTGAAGATCTCTATGTTGGCCCCCTGAATGAAATAATAATTAAAAAAATTGGACTGAAAATGTTTATCCCATGTAGGTGTAGCCGTCCTTCAGTCTCGAGGTACTATGGTAACGTGCTCTGATTAGAGATCTTGGAACAGCATCTAGTGTGGCTGAGAAGGCCAATTCGAGAGTGACAATCCCTTCCATACTGAAGACAAATACAGTTTGTCCCCTGTCCAGTTCTCTGATTGTGCTGGTTTCGGGACTGCCTCTTTGCCTCGGCCTGCTGGACAAACGTCTCTTCAAATTGGGAGAGGCCATGCTGCATTGCCTGCCTCTAGGCTGAATGCTCAGATGTCAAAGTTTCCCATCTGCTCAGGTCCATTCCTAAGGCCTTCAGATCCCACTTGCAGACATCCTTGTATCGCAGCTATGGACTCCCTCTGGGGCAATATCCCTGCACTAATTCTCCATACAGGAGATCTTTTGGAATCCAACCATCAGCCATTCTCACGACATGCCCAAGCCAACGTAGACGTCGCTGTTTCAGTAATGTATACATGCTAAAAATTCCAGCTCATTCTAGGAGTACTCTATTTAGAACTTTGTCCTGCCAGGTGATACCAAAAATGCGTCTGAGACAACGCATATGGAATGTGTTCAACTTCCTCTCCTGCCGTGCACAAATAGTCCAGGACTCACGGCAGTACAGGACTGTAGTCAGGACACAGGCCCATGTAGGCACAACCTGATATTTAAGACACCCTTTCCTTGCTCTACACACAGGGAAGTAACATTTTTCTGCACTCAGCAGTGAGCTGCTGGAACAGTTACACAAAAGCCTATCTTAGCAAAAATATACTTTTCTGTGAAGTTCATCCTTCTAAACAGAAAAGTATATAATAAAAGACTCCAGTTTTAAAGTAGATATAGGAAAAAGCATAGGCACACAAATTTCAATATAAAAGTCAAGTGGAAACCTACAACACCTCAGTTCAGGTGACCTACTGTCATAAATGGAACCAAAGCTCAGATAAAGCCTGCAGGTTTTTTTTGCATCTTTGCTTCTTGAGGTCGTGTCATAAAGGGCATACGTTTCTTCTGAGCATACAAAACAAAATAAAGTTTGAAATCTCACCTGAATTAGCTCAAAGAACTTGGATTTGGGATTAGAAGAGGATGGAGCAACTCGAGCCTGGTCAGGAATCTAGAATAATCAAAAAGCCAATTAATCTAGAAGTGTTTGGTTCTCCCTTTCCATTTTCCCCATCCTGCGGTGTTAGTATACTGCAAGTAAACATGCATAGAGCAGTATGGGGGAGAACGCTAAGGCAATGCAGGCTAAAATACTAAGGTTTCTTATAAAGAAAAAAGTCAGGGAACTTGAATCCTCTGATGCTATTGATGGATCAAAGCTTCCTTGAACTGCAGGTATTTTTGTACTCCCACTCTTTGTTCCCCATGAACAGAGGAATCCAACATACAGAGTAGTGGGGATTTTCAAGTGTTATTACAAGCTACCTGTGTGGCTTTTGTATCTGCCTGCAAACAACCCTGCAGATACTGGCAGTTCATTTTAATGTGAATAAAGGGAACAACAGATCTTTTCCAAATAAATAAAATACTTTGCAAGCAATACATAATTAGCGTATAAAATATATTGCCACAGAAAACCACACTGTCCAAGATTCATGCTGAGAAGACAAGCTGCAGGTGAACAATTTTTTCTTTTTCTCAGCTATGAGTGGTGAGATGTATTTAATACTGTGACGCCATCTACAGGATAGTTTCCATGAAGATTTCTTATACAGTGGTGCCTCGCTTAATTGGCGCCCCGTTTAACGATGAATCCCCATACTGATGCGGATTTTGCGATTGCAAAAGCAATCGCATTGCGATGTTCCCCCGTGGTCCTTCTCAAGCTCCCGCCGGTCAGCTGGGGGAAAATGCTGGTGGGAGCTTGAGAAGGACCGCGGGGGAGCCCTCTTCCCTCCGAGGAGGCAGCGGCGGGCGCTCATCCCCAGGCCGGCGGCAAGCGGCGCTTTGGCCAGCTCGCTCCTCCCGGGGCAGCGGCGGCCACCCATCTCCTGGCAGCCCGTCCGGGCCTCCTCCGGCTCCGGCTCCTCCTGGCGGCGCTGGGGGTTGAGAGAGGAGAAGAACAAAGGGACCCGCCGGGCGCCCCCCCGGCAGGCAGGGCCGGGCGGCCATGACACTCCTTCTGGGCTGGCTGGCTGGCTTCCTTCTCCTTCCTCGCTCCCTCACTGGCTGGCTTTGTTCTGACTCTTCTTTAATTTATTGTTGATTTTTTTACCACTTGAGGTGCATTG